TATGCCGTATCTTACGGTGTGACAGTCAGGTTATTTTAACAATCGCTTTTTACTATTCGTGGATTACGTTGTGTATTAAATCATTATGACGACGAGCCGTGCAAATAAAATTGCTGATTTTCAAAAGTTGACGAATGCGAAATTAAATTCGCTAATAATTCGATTAACACATTTCGAAATACGCTTAACAGCGAGCTACTGAATCTCTAATAATAAGTGACGTCATGACAGCAGGGATCACAGCCACAGTCATAGTGCTATTAATTCGTCTGTCGTAGAAGCGACTCTGCGAAATCAACAGAAAAGTAAAAATGGCATTTGGCACCTTCTCAGGACTAAAAATGTTCTGACCCACAGAACTGCACTTGCGCTTAAAATGAATCCCAGCGCAAACCACGGATGGGAAACGTGGAGCAATATGTTTGAAAGCTATTCATAAATTACAAAATATGCAGCAGGCGTGGAAAAATGTTAGAGATAAAATGAGAAAACAACTGAATGGATAAAAGTACAAATAGGGAGCTGCGATGTCATTGCCCGAGTGAAGAAGTGGCAAGATGTCATAATAGAACAGATCGTGATATGTTCAGGTCTGGATGTGGAGCAGGATCTGACCAGCAGTAAACGTGGCTGTTAGCGAGGGATCGTAAATAACCACTTAGTCGTTTGACACCAAAGAGCAGAGATGATTTTATACCTGGTTTATCAGGACTGTTGTGCCCAAGAAAGGCTCAAATCATACAAAAAGAGAAGAAAGTGTTGTGACTGTCGCTGTTTATCCAACAGCTGAATAGCGTTCGATCAAGCTCCAACTTATATTACTGGAAAGAGAATACGGTAGCCACTCCAGACAGGCGTGATTTTCTTTTGCATATCTGAATTTATATTATATATTCGTTCTGATGTCGTAATGCAGTATTATTATTATTATTCACGGATTTACTTTAAATTTTAATACAGATATCATTCAATATACGTGATGATGTTGTCACCTTAATTTTGACCCTGTTTAGTTTCATTTTCACCAGCAGGCGCCATGCAAAGCGCTGTGGCGCCACCGTACCTTGAACCTGTTGCTCAACCGTCGCCGCTGAATTCGCTGAGCTCGTTGTCGGCGCGTGTCTACCCTTCTGATCAACCAATGATATTTACGTAAGGCTACTTCTATTTATACCATTTTTCCTTAAAATAGTTCAGTATCGCAGTGACAGTCTGTTGTGCTCCATGATTTACAAGTCAGTGTTACGATAAGAAGTTTAGTTTACACATACATTTAGCTGATTTTGAACAAATGGCGTAAAAAACGTATTCTTTATTTACTGAACCATACAATCATTAAACTATAAGTATACGACAAACGTGTGTCTCTATGAAAGTGATCCGTTCAGCGTAGCATGCGCTCCCCAGATATTTTGCTCTTATGGCTTGTGATTTGACCAGATGATCTGTAATATTTGGCGAACATTCTTGATAGTCGAGAGGTAACAGATTAACCATTTTAACCGGTAGGGTTGCTTTTTTTGGTATCTGAAATGCCTGAGCGAGCTACTACCAAGGGAAACATGAGATACCATCGAAGAAAGTACGGACAACAATGGGAGGAAATTAGCGATTAAATTACGCAGCTGTGGCACGAACAACCAGTTCTCATCCTTTGGACAGTCTACGGAATCATACATCGCTTTCATGACGGCATCTTTTACAGATTTACAGAAAAAATGAATTGAGATGTTTTCATTTAGGCTGGCACTTAGTGTAATATTCACTAAGAGAATTTCTGTAAACGCATAATCAGGTGTATTAGAAATCAAACATCTTATAATCGTCGCATCATTATTCGGTCATTAGCGGTCTTCGTTTTCTGATACAGCTCCAAGCAACTGCAGCATCGAAGTGCCTGAAAATTCAGTGGTATCGTCGAGTAATGAATTATGACGTCCGTCGGATTGAACAAGCTTTCTGACGAACGAAAAACTGGCACCTCTCGTGGTTTGATAA